GGGGGGAGGGAAGCCCTGTGAACGAGGTTGATTAAGGCATACATGTATCGGAATATCATGAAGCGAAAAATATAGACTTGCAATGGCGACCTTGAAGATTAGATGCCCAACTTTAGGCTTTCATCCTATGCAAAATAGTATCCCTATGGTTAATACGGATCCTATGGGTGCCATGTGTTGCATAGGACAAGAAAATGGAGGTTTATCGGTATAGAAATCGCCCACAACGCCTTTTTGGCAACCAGCACATGCACAAAGTAGTCTTTTATGTTACTTATAATCAATTGTGTCAGTTCTAAAATGGAGACTATTGTTCTGTGATGTACGCCTTCAGACCGTTTGACCTTTCCATGCCATCATGTTACATTAACCAATGGAGCACTTTTTCCGTGTTTACACAGCTCAAACCCTCATCTAAACACGAGGGGAGTTCGGAGAATTCCAGACACTTAGTCAAACCCGGAACGCAGTAAAGTTTTTGTGTTATTCTCTGTTAACTCAGTGATCTTTGAACATGCTTCTGAATAACTATATCGTTTATGCAATTTCAGGGATGCTAACAAACTCATAGAAATTGAGGAGTCTCTCGCGAGAAAAACCTATAAGAGGTTCACGATTACGCAATTTTGAGCCTGACAAGATCTATTTCGCTGCGAAATGAAAACAAATTTACTTCTTTCTGCGAGCGCTTATAATGGCTTATCTGAAATAAATAAGAGTTTTTAATAAAAATCTGTCTGTAGACAGCTGATAAATTCAAATGGAGTGCGCTCAGAGATGGTCCTCACTGTATACACTGCATACTCCATTTACTGTTCATATTGCATAAATTATCTATATTGTTTTAGTGTCACCTAACTAGTGGACTAATGCAAGTCCCGCATTTTAATTGGCTACGCTACTAGAGGGCTATTAGTAATAGTCCTCGAGTAGCGAAATTGGCGCAATCGAGTGTGACACTTTCTTTCATTTTATTCCCAAATAAATATATCTTCAACTTGCATTTGCAAACTTTATTATTGCCTTTTCTGTCCGACTAGTTGGGTGATACTAAAACACTTGCACTATTTAACAATTAGACCCATTCGCCCTCAAGGGCCACGGGTCAATAGCCCATGAGGCAAAGCCGAATGGGCTATTGACCCGTAGCCCTTGCGGGCTATGGGTCTAATTGTTGAGTATTGCATTGCGCATCCCTACTGCGCACAATTTTCGCGTCATTAGCGCGTGCACATGAGCGCGTGCGCCTACAAAACGTGAGAGATTTCCCTCAAACTAAGCTCGATAGCGAAATAAATGCTCCTTTTCTCTTAAATGAACACGGTAGCCCCCGATTTTTTTTTCAGGTATTTTCTAAGATATTTTGGCCTAGGCGAGGACTTCAAACCAACCACGCAACAGTCCCAAAAAGTGCAATATTCTCACAACCAGGCAATCAAAAACGGCTTGAATAAAGCAATACTTCTTATGCGAATAAAAGAAGGCTTACTTTCAAGATAAAATTTTGTCTTTCACGTAACCAAGACTTAATTCTGTATGGTGATTCGAATTTTTAACACGCAACCAGTAAAAATGCCCCATGTTAAGAGCCTGCTGACTCGTAAACAAGCACGGTGACCCCAGTTTTTTATTGCATTTTTTTAAATGTTCATATCATGAATTTTAATTATGCCAATTTTCAAAAAAAGTTTAATAGTAGAACAATTTCATGGGAATTACCTTAAGAGAGTGATATTTGTTTTATAATTGTGACTTATGCCATTAAAAGCCCATCGTTATATCTTGCATTCAATAAATCTGGCCCTGTACATAAAAAAAAAACTGAACAAATAAGGCCGTTTTAATTTCAGGCCAAGGCCATTTGAAAGTGATCATGTACAACATCTACATAAATAACCACTCTGGAGCTGCGGCGTACGTGCGACTCTCAAGTGAGAAGATGCAGAATTCTGATAGCTACGTACAAAAACTAAAGGAAGCGATTGTTGATACGACCGAGGTAAAAGAATTGGCGGAAGAATATGCTACCTTCCTGGCTATTGGTGGCTTCTGCTTCATATTGCCCGAAGGCACACTCCCCTTTCCTGTGGAGAATGCGGCCACGCCCTTGTATATTTACGTTGTGTGCAAAGAGGGGTTGATTAGTTTTCTGTTTGATCCCAAAATGTATGGATGCATTTCGATCAAATTGTCTGTATGTAGAATTATGGGCTTAAAGATTGTCCTGTTGCCCTATAACCCAAAAGCGGTTTGGTTTCCAGCCAAGAGTGGTGATGAGCTTCCAACAGATTTAGCTGTTGAAGCTGGTGTCGGACGAAATGATGAGGAGCGTCTATACTTTGGTCGTTCAAATATGACTTCCTGGACCTTGGGTGAGCTCGGAGGTATACCATGCGCCGTTACTACTAGTTCTGGTAAGTGCAGAACATGGATGGTGGGTGAAGATTCAGGATACAAAAACGGAGATCTTCTGAAGAACACTGGCTTTGAACTGATTCGAGCCACGCATGGTGATCCCGTTCCACCAAATGCAGTCATGACTGGCGTGACACAGGCTAACGGATCACTGTTTGTGGGAAGAGTCGGTGGCAGTATTCCCTGTTACATCACCACTGAAAATGGTAAAATTCTGTATTTTGTTTACGGCCTGGAAGAGAAAAAATTCTATGTCAACAACGGAGAAGTTATGGTGCTGACGCGTTAAATAGTTTAGTACAACAAACCCACTTCATGTAATTTGTTTGTTCAGAGTGTTTTTGTATATGTTCGAACATGGGAGGAGACTGATGCCTTTCGAAGTACAACTTCGCCAGGCGGCTCTTTAATTGTTCAAGGTTAGCTGTCTCAGCATAAGGGTTTCCAATCAGTTAAAAGCTGATTGGTAAATTTTCATTTCATTTTTTCCATGACTGATCGATTGTAACTTCCAGTTAGCATTAACAATAGAGTTAATATGGAAAGTGTTTGCAAGGTTTCCGCTAAATTCAAATCGTGAATCAGCAACAGGATACTCGATGGAAATCTGTGAAAATAATATATAGATTTAGGCCAGCCTAAAAGCTGAGCTCCTCAGTTATTTTTCGGAATGTTGTTACTAATGAAAGTAATCCAACATGTATGAGGTAAATTGTGAATGATTTAATAGTTTCAGCCGGAACTAGTATTACATCAGCAGATCGAGGTGTAAGATGGTGTGATTAT